CAAACTAATATTACGGCATTAATTCTATACTTGGAAGAGGAGAACATGCATAAAGTTGAAGTATGGAGGCCAATGGGAAGAGCATTATCAACATTGGAGTGCATCCACCCTTGAAAACCACAATTTATAAACTCATGGGAATTTCTACTCACATCATTACCCATGTGGGATAAAATGTGTTTTATTTTATTTAATAAAGTGGGTTCCGTCAATCTAATTAATTAGACATCTCTTATTTACTTAATTAATGAGATATAAATAATATATATTTTTGTTGTAGAGTCTTTTGCCAAGCTAGACTCCTCTATAAACAAGGCACTTGGCTTCACTTGTTAGACACTTGAAATTTATATCAATTAAAGTTTTTATCTTTATTCTATTATATTGGAATTAGTGTATGAGCGTGGTTACCATTGCATACGCGTATCATTCTCAAATCGGGTCATTGGGTTGATTCTTTGGGTTCGTAGCTTCCGAAACCGCTGGAGTTTCTAACCAAATCGTTCGAGTCTCCATTGGTTTAGAGGTGTTGGGTCTAGGCAACGCTTGGGTTCACATCCGATCGATTGACGAATCGGACACCGGTAATATGTTCTTCTTTCTTACTTAGTTTTTTTATTTGAATTTAGTTTTAACTTTCGGTTAGTATAGTTTAGTTACTTGGGCTACGTCAGCGCGAGGGCACCAGGTTCTTTCTCTCTCTCGTTCTTGTTCTCCATTTTTTCTTTTCTTTTTTTTTTATTTTTTTTTAATTTACTCCACCCGTTGACTGAATTACATTTTTTTTTAAAAATACAAGGACAAGGAAAAATCAGCGCTTCTAATAAAAACCGTCTGTTTGAAGACAATTGGACAAGTTTTCGGGCTAGCCAATTTGATTCAATGCCCGTTGACTAATTGGGGCGGCCACTCTGAAGCCGCATTGACCAATTGAGTATGAAACTCGGCCGATCTAATTTTTATCTATATGAGTATTGTCCAATATCCGATTGAACACCAATAATGGTTGGTGAAATTGTGACCAACGGAAATGAGGATAATATAGACTTTATTTTTTTCAAAAAATTTATCTTTTTTTTCCTTATTGTTCCTGCTCTTCTTTAGAAAGTGTCTAATATATATATATATATATATGTGCAAGTCTTTTTACCATTACACGAAGTTGCGCAACGTAACGCGCATATACGACCACTAGTATATATATATATATATGAGATAAACAGTAGCGGATGTATGCGTCACAAAAATAAAAAAATAATTGTATATGTTTCAATTAGGAATGTTATATATTTGTGGGGCTTTCCTCCGTTAAGGCAGCTACTATCAATAATGCATTCTATACCAACTAGTTTAAGTATGTTTAATATCTTCGCTAAAGGAGGTTTTGTGTATCCAAAATTATTACTATGTATATGGTTATTACACTTTCAATTTCAAATTAACTATGGAAATGAACTAGACCATTGTTTCCACTATTATTCAAAGTGTTTTTGGATAAATTTATACTATTCCTCTTATAAAAATTATTACTATATGTGTGATTATTACACCAATCAACTTCAAATAAACTATCAAAATTATTGAAATATTTTTAATATTCCATTTAGATTTTAATTTGATCTTATGTATAGATTATAGTATTATTTATATTTGAATTTATCGAGTTTGTTTTATAGTATTTATATATAAGCTTTTATTTTGACGATCAATAGTATTATTTTTTAGTCTTTTACAAAATTTCTACTTGAGTTTATTTTTCTTTTGGAGTAGATAAAATATATTAACTCATGTTTCTTCGGGTGCATTCAATCTGCAATATATCCGGAGGTCTCCAAAACTTAAGATTTTGTCTCTAGTTGTTAGTTTTTCCATTTATTGTCTTAGTTTTTGTTTGCGTTTGAATGTGAAAGTCATGTATGTGCATTAAGAGTCTCGTCGTTTTTGATTTTGTTTAGAGCCTTGTCGTTTTTTATTATGTTTAGAGTTTTGTTGTTTTCAACTCTGTGGAGAGTCCTGTAATTTCCAGCTCCGGTGAGAGTCATATGATTTTCGGTTCCTTTAAGAGTCTTGTTGTTTCTGCTTTGACTCAGTTAAGAATAATTTTTTTGAATTTGACCCAGTGGAGCGGCAGTGACAACGGACAAGAAATGTTATTTTACATTTTTCTTTTTTTCCGTTTGTATTTTTTTTTAAAACAACTTGAGTTTAAGAATATGTTGAAATATTTTAGAAAGTTTAAATTTGATTTGGTCTTATCCATATATTATGTTGATTAGATTTGAGTATATCAAGTCTATGCCTACGGGGACGGAGTTGCGTGGGGAGGGTCCGCAGCCCCCAATCCAGTGGCCGCCACTGAACCTCCTTAGCGTCAACGGCAGCGGGAGAAGAAGAAAACTTGTTGCCCCCAACCCCAAGGATAAAACAACAACAGTAACGGAAAGGAAAAGAAAAAATCAAAATGAAAAAAAAGAAAAGAATGTAGAAGAAGAAAAAGATGGGAGTTGATGAATGAAGAAGAAAGATAGACAAGAAGACCAAAGAACTTGAAATAAAATAAAAGAAAAAAAATATAGAGCAGAAAGAAAGAGAAAGGGTAGGAGTGGTGTTGCAGGGACTAGAAACTTATGGTTGAATGGATTAATTGTTTAATAAATATTTAAATAATTAATATATTTTTTTTAAAAAAAAATAATATATTAAATCAAATATTTATTTTTTTATTTATTAAATTAAATTATTTTATATTTAATATATTATATCAGTAGATATTTATATAGTTTGAAACAATTATTTTAAATTTAAATTTTATTTTTTGAAATCAATCCTTCATAACTAATTTCTTAAAATATAATTATATTATTATATAATAAATAATATATTATTGAAAATATTAATTAATATAATAAAATTTAATAAATTCATTCGGATTTTTTTTAACCACCAGTCCCTCTAATTGAATAGTTCTGGCTCCGCTGCTGAATACTTATATATAAACTCTTATTTTGTTGATGAATAAAATACGATTTTTTTAGTCCTTTACAAAACTTCTACTACACGTGTCTAATGGAGCATTGGATAAAAGCATAACAAGAGATAAAATATCAAAATTAGAAAAAATACAAATAAAAGAGTACAAAAAACGTATATAAAGAAAGGAAAAAAAAAAAGACGTCCGAGACCAAAACTCCAAGTTCCATTTTATTGTTCTTCATTAATTATTCTGTCTTTTACGACACATTGTTTTCTATGTTTGCAATTTTACATTCTAAGCTTTTATTCATTCAAGCAATCTTTGATTTTCTAGAATTTATTTCCTTTATTTCTATTCTTTTTTTTCATTTTTTTGTCTTATTCAATCCAATTTTCAAGTCATCAGTCAAAATATTTTCGATTTCATATTTACTGTGTTTGTTGATTGTGAGACTAAGCACTAATATTTTCTTGAATAGACTGGAGAATTCATTTCAATCATGTCTTCGATAGGCCATACTGAATAGGTTGTCTTTGAATTTTTGCAACAACAAAAATTGACATGCCGGGTGGGACACCTAAATTATGTTCTTTTGTGTGTTTTACCACAAATTTTTACTATTCAGACTCTTTTTTTCTAAAAAAATATTACATCAAACAATTACTTTTATTTTTTTATATTATTATTGATGGTAATTTCAACAATAAAAAGTAAAATTTAAAAATATATTTCAAACTTGAATAGTGAAGCATGGAACTACAAAGTTTCAAGCGATGAACAAAGAGTTCAAGAAAATGTAAAATAACAGTAAATACAGATGACCCTCAATGAGATTGTTGAAATTTTGTATGATTGAAGATGTCCGTTCTTTCTCATTTGAGTTGCTAATATACGCATCAATCTCAACTGTCCAGAACCACTTCCACGTCGGTTACCAATCCGAATAGTCCAAAACCACTTTCACGTCGGTTACCAATCCGAATAGTCCAAAACCACTTCCATGTCGGTTATCACTTTGAACTGTCCAAAACCGCTTCCTCGGCGGTTACCACTCAGAACCGTCCAAAACCGCTTCCACGCAGGTTACTACTCTGAACCGTTCAAAACCATTTCCACGTTGGTGACTTTTGTAACCAACCACCCCAAGGCCCAAGCTCGGATAAGTCTATTGTCTGTAGATAAACATATTTGTTAAACATATTTGTTAACAAAATTGGAGAGTTTGGAAGTGCACTTGCTATTAGAGCTGTATCTACATCTTTACCAGGTATGTATTATGAAATTTATCATTTAATTATATTTTTAAATATACTTGTTATAAAATGTTGCATTATTAATAATTTTTTATTTATTTTTAATAGCTGACTGGTGGAATATGTACGGTGATGAAGCTCCTAATTTAAGAAAAATTGCATTAAAAGTTTTGAGTCAAACTTGCACATCATCGGGTTGTGAGCGGAATTGGAGTACGTGGGCTTTGATCCATACTAAACTTCGGAATAGATTAGCTATTGAGAAACTGCATAAGCTAGTCTATGTCCACTACAACATGCGTCTTCGGGTAAAAAATTTTATGCAAAGGACAGACACAGACGATTTTTATGACCCAATTGATTTGAATCATATTTTTGATGAAAATGATATTTTAGATGAATGGGTTAGAGAAAATGAATCTCCACTTATTCGTGATAGTGATTTGAATTGGTTGGATGAGGCTATTGAAGAAAGTGGAGATCGAGGTCAAAGTGAGCATAATGATCATGACAGTGATATGCTTTTATCTCAATTTATAGTTGATGGAAAAAAGAAGGCGAAAGAGAAAAAATCAGAAAACAAAAATACGGCCAAGAAAAAAAAAGCAATCATATTGGAATCTTCATCTTCATCGACTAATGGTGAAGATAAGAATAATAACAATGATGATGATGATGATGATGATGATGATGATGATGATGATGGTGGTGGTGGTGGTGGTGGTGGTGGTGGTGGTAGTGGGAGCTACAGGGATAGCCGATACTCAAGTGATATGGGATGGGCTCAAGGAAATGAAAATTATTATGCTACCCAAGACACTGATCATGGATATCGTCCTGGTATAGAAGCTCAAAGAGATTTTCTAAATAGTTTAACAGAATTTTCAAGTGAAGCCGATGCTTCAAATTTTTCAGATACTAGGAGATATTCTGGAGTTCACGAACATATGCAAGACTTGAATATAGGTTATTCCTATGGAGATTCTTCTCATAGCTCGAGTAATAGATTGGGGAGACAGGAGTGGGACCAACCAAATGCATATCATAATCCCTATTACTCAGGATACGGTTTATCTAATCTACCCAGACATCTTCAGGATTCAGCCAATCTTCCTATATTTGGATCCAACCAACCAGTTGGAACATATTACGGAGGGATTACATCTGGTTCGGGTAGTATTGATGATCGTAGACAAAATTATGGTTCATCAAGCAGAAGCAATGATAATAGAGAATATCGAGGTTTTGATGTATATGGAAGGGGTTCATTCAGAGAAAATCAATATGGTTCGAACATCTCTCCTTATCCAAGCAATATGAATCCAGAACAAGGATATTCGTAATATAATCGATCAGCAGATGAAAATGATTTTGAACCTCCACGACATTCCACATGGTATTGAATAGTAAGTATAAATATTTAGTATAAACGTAGTTTGAACATTTTATAAAATTTTATTTGTATTTTTTTTCTAATTATTTTTATTTATATAATGCAGATGATAAAGATGAAATCTTGACATTGACGGACACAAGGTACATCATTTTGTTATTAAAATAAATTTATTAGTATAATGACAATATGCAAAACATAAAATTTAGCATTTACATTTATATATATATATATATCCGCTAATTTAGTTGAAATATTATTCATTTTAAATTTTGATCTATTATAAATTATAATATATTTTTTCAATAATATATATTTTTAAATTAATTATATTTATAATTTGATGTATTTTAATTAATTATTTATTATTTTTTTGAAAAAATATAAATTTTATATAAAAAAATCATATAGGCCGATATTTGACCGATACGCCGCGACCGATACGCCGCGACGTATCTGGAACGGTAAAGGCCGATCCGCGACGCCGATCCGCGACGGCGAACCATGTTCCTCATGCTTAGATCACAAATATAAATATATTGATCAAAATTAATGGAACTAATTAAGCTAATAAAACAGAAAGTCTTGGCTTGGCTGTTTACTTTTGATGCAGAACTGGCCCAGATTTCATACATCTTATGTACACTCGAGGCTTGGACCAGTGGCGCGCCAAGGCTGCCGCTGAAGTGCCTTTGGATATATATATAGATATATATATATATATTTATAAATAAACGAATATCATTTCCATGAATATAAAAGCTTAAGGATACTTTTAAAATGAAGTCATTCATATATAGATGTTAAATACCCAAATTTACATGGACATCATCATCCACCTTCACATAAAACTCAGCATCCCATCTTTTCACTGCAGTTGAAAAGAATGATTTTGTCTTGGTCGATAGTTCATGATATCCTTCAACATGGTCCTGAAAGATAGTACAATATCATAACTCAATACCCAAGAAAAAGTGGTAACCAGCTAGCTAGCTACTATAAATATATCTGATATGAGCAATGTATGAATCTTACAAGCCTAAGGAAGTCTTTATGTTGGGATTCCTCATAATCGATGGCTTTGTCCAAAATGTTGTTCGAAGTTGCACTGACATACATATTATTATGACATGTTCTTTTTTCAAGGATGATGATTGAACACGGTTTTTACAAACAAAATTCCTTTCATAATGAGTGAACCAAAATGAAAGAGATGAGCTCAGAGTTACATAAAGAGTTAAAATTACATTATCCAAGTACTCATTTCTTCTCCAAGACAAATTGTTGGCAATGGCCTAAATCTTCGGAAATAAAAAATGTTTAGTGCACACAATTAGATAAACCTAACAACAACCACATTATATATATATATATATATATACTTGTGGCCAATCATGAATCGAACGATGATTCCCTTTTCTTGCTCAAGTTGTAACAGTCTTCTGCCTAATCAAATTAAACATAGCAGAGAAGAAAAGAGAAGCAAATTCGAATAATAAGGAGAATCAAAATTTTGAGACGAATGAAAAAATATGTGGCTAATAGACATCGCTTCAAATTATACCACGAGAGACCCTCACTTAATCCTATAAAGTTCGCACCCGTTGCCGATTTTGATGTTCAGAATTGATGCGAGACGAAGTCTAGCTCAAAGACTATAAAGAAAAACATTTGGAAGACAACCCGAACCATTTAATAGCTTTCTTTAATTCTAATTGTTTTTTTTTATTTAATTGCTAATAATACTTTTAACGATTTTGTTTGGTTTGGTGCAGATCTTTTGAAAAATAATTGTTGATTCTTGGCGAAGGCACGACCGACTTTTCCTAATAAAAAAACCTAGACCAAGAGATGACTTTTAGTCATAGTCATGACTAATTGGCACATAGCATATTGGTCTTTTCATCCAATCTTTCTTACCCAACCAACAATCTTTTTTACCCAACCAATTTATGACCATAACTAAATACTACCTACCTATGACCGTGCCTCTTCTCTTTCCTATCCAATTTTAACCCTAAATCCTGCAAATAAATAAATAATTTTAAATCTCTCTCCCTCTCTCACTCTTTCTCTTCTTTTTCTACCCCTCCTGTGCTTCGGTCTCAACTTCTTCCTCCCCTCATCAGTCATCGCCTATCAGACCAGCCGCCCTCCGCCGAACCAGATGCCACCTGCTCTTCTTCTCTGATACCCCAGCGACGCGCCTGTTCCGAACCAGACCACCGCGATCCCTCCCCAGCCCTGCGCCCAGATCTTCTTCCCCTCCCCCTCCGCCGCAGTGGAACGCCCTCCGTCCAGCCCAGCGACGTCAATCCTCTGCCCAGATTCCATCGCGCTGGACGCCTCTGTCGATCCTCCATCCGCGCAGCAGACCGCCGATCGCCCTCCCGCCTGCCCTAGCGTCGACACTGCGGTCCTTCTCTTCTTCTTCGAGCGAACCGAACCAGCCACCAGCGCCGCCAGTTAGCCGCAGCGACTATTCGCCGATCGTGTTCCCTTCGTCAGCCACGCCGCCACGCCCAGGTGCACGACTTGCTCCGCCGGCGATCTTGACATCCGGAAACTCCACCACCGATACTACCCTAATATTATTCTTCCATCCCTACATTCTAATATTATTCTTCCATCCATACGACTTGCTCCGCCGGCGATCTTGAATTCAAGCAAGGGTGATTTTTTTTTTTTTTTTTAGTCTGTGAATCTATGTTCGTAGTAATTGAAATTTTAGCATTGAAAAGTAAAATCCTGATTGGTGAATTTCAATTGTCTCAATCTAATCTGTGTGGACTTCTATGTTAATGTTATATTGGGGAATTGTTGATTTGAATTGATATTATAAGGGAAGTAAGCATTACATATTGCGAAGTTAGCCTTTTCCTTGGAATTGATTTTTGGGTATTATGTGGTTTTGTGTGGTCAATTTGATATTAGTCTTTCGCATTACAATCAAGTTTGTCTTCCGCATATTTTTAGATTAGTGTGTAGTGAGTCAAATGGTTTGTGTGATGGGTTTGTCAAGCATGACTAATGACATTTGATTGATGATTTGTTGAGTCAAGTCGACGTTTGAATCATGTGAGATTTGAGCTTATGTTTCAAAAGTTACATTAGAAAATAAATTGCATATATTCAAACTTTTGGAAATTTCTTTCATGTGCGATTTGTAGTGCTCAATTAGACGACTTAGAACTTGAGTGATTATGCAGGTTGAAATTGCAAATATCAAGTCTTGCGTTTTGAAAATGATAAGGGCATTAGGTAACCCCAATAAGCCTGCACAATATATTCCCCTAGTTAACTCATTTGAGCCTTCTTAGCCTATTTTTTCTTTTATAATAAATTGTCTATTAGCCTCGTACCCTTCTTTTGATTAAGCCTTCTCCGATTGAACCCTATGTTATAAAGTATTACTTTAAGTCTATGTTGTGATGCACTTTATTTCTTCGGCACTAGTTAGAAATGAAAATTAGGTATGAATAAGTCTTAGTATGCAGGAATGGTCACAGGTAGTGAACGTGTATATATATATATATATATATATATAAAGGCCAAAGCCAAAAAAAATTCAAAAAAAAAATATAAAAGAAAAGATAAATAAATAAACAAAACAAAAAGAGAAAAAGAAAAAAAAATAGTCATCTTAATGAAGTATTTTTATTTAATTTTGTTATTGAAGTTTGAATAGTGAATAGAGTAAGGATTTCATTGTTTATGCCGATTTGTTTTTCATATGCTAGCATTGTGTTCTTTTCTACATTGTTAGCCGTTGTTTATCCTTATTTTCCTACCCCTTATCATAAGCCCCGTTACAATCCTTATTGAGAGTCCATTTTTGATTATTTATGTTAGATTAGAATATTTAAGTAAGAGAGATTTAATTTTTACTCAATTCCTTCAGAGAGCATGTGCGAATACACTTTATCTTGTGATGTTGACTTGACTTGATGTGTTGGATTTCGGATTGTATTGGTTGTGTTGGATTCTCTTCTCGTATTGAGTCGCCTGTGATTTCTTTGGCTTATTTCGAATCTATGCTTGAGGGCAAGCATGATCTAGGTGTGGGGAGATTTGATAGTTAGAAATTGCATGCGTTAAATGTTCATGTTATATGCGATATTCGATTGATGTTGATTGGATTCTGCCTAATTTCGGTGCGTATTGTTTATTTCCGACATGCAAGAAAGAAAAGACAAATTTGGTGAATCTGAAAAAGAAAATAAAAGAAAAAAATCAGCATTGGACAATCTGAAGTCCACGCAGATTGAGACAATTGAAATTCACCAATCAGGATTTTACTTTTCAATACTAGAATTTCAATTGCTACGAACATAGATTCACAGACTGCACAAAAGAAAATCACCCTTCCTTGAATTCATGCTAAGGCAAATTATCCCTAAAATTGGAGGTATTAGAATGTAGGGATGGAAGAATAGTACCACATTAGGGTAGCATCGGTGGTGGAGTTTCCGGATGTCAAGATCGCCGGCGGAGCAAGTCGTGCACCTGGGCGTGGCGGCGTGGCTGACGAAAGGAACACGATCGGCGAATAGTCGTGGCGGCTAACTGGCGGCGCTGGTGGCTGGTTCGGTTCTCTCTCGAAGAAGAGAAAGACCGCAATGTCGACGCTAGAGCAGGGCGGAGGGCGATTGGCGGTCTGCTGCGTGGATGGAGGATCGACGGAGGCGTCTAGCGCGATGGAATCTGAGCAGAGGATTGACGTCGCTGGGCTTTACGGAGAGCGTTCCGGTGCGGCGGAGGGGGTGGGGAAGAAGATCTGGGCGCAGGGCTGGGGAGGGATCGCGGTGGTCTGGTTCGGAACAGACGGCGTCGCTGGGGTATCAGAGAAGAAGAGCAGGTGGCATCTGGTTCGGCGGAGGGCGGCTGGTCTGATCGGCGATGACTGAGGAGGGGAGGGAGAGAAAGAGAGAGGGGGAGATATTTAAAATT